TTTACTGGATATATATATATATATATATATATATATATATTATATTAATTAAAGTTTAATTATACAAACACTTAACAAATGTACTTAACTAATAAAAGTAGCACTCGTGACACGACATTAGTAAGTAAAACAACAAATTTGTACCTTGATACCAGCCCCCACAAGGAAATCCACCAACACAGACTTCATTTTGGTCTGACCACTCTTAAAGTCATCTCCTCCAATCAAACTGTTCCTCTTGATGGCCAGATCGATCAGGCCTGGTGACAACACAAGCAAAGTTCACAAATTTTGCAGAAATAAAATGAAATTAATAAGCCACATGAAAATAGTAATTAATAATAAACCTGGGACAAAGGTGTTCTGGGGGCTTCCGTTGATGAAAGGAACATTTTCCATGACACAAGCAATGGCATACAAGGTGGAAGGGGAAATCTCAGCCTCGTTCCTGTCCAATGAAGCCAAGAGGTTCTCCACGGTGTCGTTTAGTCCCACAACGACGTTGCTGTACCTCTCTGTGTTGGCTGTCCACAGGACAACCACCCTGTCAACCTTGCTTGTCTCCTTAAACTCCCTAAATTTTCATCACACACGTAGGGGAACAGATTCAGATTTTGTAGATAGGATATATTATTATTTTTATATTAAGGTTGGACCTACTTAATGTCTTTTATGATTTGTTGAACTTGTTCTTTCTTCGTGCCCTTGATAACGTTGTTAGCACGGTCTCCTTGGTTGGCAGCAATGAAATCTGGGTCATAGATTCCGGGGAGTGGAACCATGGATTCCATGTAAGGCCTCAATTGTTTCTGGAGGTCGATATCAAAAACCTTGGCCCTGGCCATGGCATCAGCCAGGTTCAAGTTACTGATATCCCATCCCCCAAACACAATATCATCAGGGTTTACCTGCATCAATTATGACATATCAACAAGTATAATTAATTAAAGAATTTTTATGTTTTTGGACATGTTAGAAATCACTAGAGTTCATGTCACTAATGTTCCATCTTATGTGAAACCCACATGTTAGATGTGGGACTCACCGACCATACGTGTATCTTGTCCGGAATAATCCAAGTTTCCTGTTGATTATGAAAGTATCGTCCATATAAAGGTGGTTCTAAGCAAGTCCTTATTCTTAATCATTACTTCTATATCATCATAATTATAACATGTTGGTTTTAATATTTAATCTATTTTATTTATAATATTTTTATATTTTATATTATTTAGTAATAAATTTAAGATATAATTTTTTTGAATATTTTTTATTATTAATAATTGCATCAAAAGTAATAAGATTCGAACGAGAATCATGTCATGTTATCTCAACCCACTATATAATCATAATAAATAATAAATAAAGGTTTTCATGTACATATTTTATACTTAATTTTATCCTTGATATTATTCTTTTATAAATCACTTTTTTTTAATTTTTTTAATGTAAATTTAACTCAACAAATCACTTACATATATACCTTTTAATTAACCATCCATTATTATATTTTGTTTTTATTTTTTATTTTAAATAAATTAGAAATCATCTTCAATATATTTTTTTAAAACAAATAATATGAATTTAAATGCCTTGCCCTACATGAAAATCTTTGTCTAGATGGCATACAAAAAAAAAATTTAACGATCAATATTATAATTAAATTCTAAATTTAATAATAAATATTTTTATGTTCTTAAATATTATTTAATACTTACTTTATTAAGTATTAAAGAACTAAAAATAATTGGCAATATTCATCTCCATTTATAAGGCATTATTTGTTTTTGTCTTCAGTGACCCACACCTCACTTTGTGGGTCATGTGAGACTCTTTTCTCCGGAAAGAATGACAATTAGACTCACGGGACAAAGCAAAATAAACATTTTAAAATAAATACATGTGAGTCTAAAAAAAAAAAAAAAAAAAAAAAAAAAAAAAAAAAAGAGATTCAAATATGCTGATCTACAATACCAAAAAAATATATAATGTATTTTTTTTTCCGGGCTTCTCTTTTTAATCAAGCAATAATAATTTAACAAAAAATCATTTAATAATATTTTTAATTCAAAATTTAACTGTAGCATTATGAATTATTTTGATATTTTGTTCAATAATTAAGTTAGATTGAACTGATTCTTAATATGTAAGTTGTACTAATGAAATTTTAATTAAAGAATACAAAAGGAGTTATAATAATATACTTTAATCTAGTTATATTTTTATGAGTGAGAGTTATTGAATTAAAAGTAGAAAAAAAGAGAGTGATTTCATTCAAAAGAGTTGGTACTTGGTATATATACCATTGGAAGCAGGCTCTTGAATGGGGCATATATTTCCTCTCCTTGGAAAGACCCCACTCTGATAGCTGATGCTTGGGTCAGCGACCCAAAGTAATTGGCTTGTTGAATCTTGTCCTTAGTTGCCCATGAAATACCCCTGATATTCATAACATTATATCAATATATCATAGCCACAAATAATAATAATAACAAAGAACAAAGTAATGGTAATAATTAGGAAGATGAAACTAACTCTCGGTTAGCAATAACACCACCAGTGAGGGTTGAACCATTGTTTCCACCCCACCCCACAAGCATTACCCTAACATCCAACAAAAAAAATTAACCATATCAACAAAAAGAAAAATAATCTAAATCAAAAGGGGAGAACATGCTCGAGAAGTAACTAACCCTAGTTTAGGGACATGGGTGTTGGTTTTAAACTCATATTTAACAGTTTTGGGTTTGACAACCCACTGATAAGCGCCATTCTTGTTCTGGTGAACAAGTTCAGTGGTTTCATAGTTGTACACGGACTGAATCTCAGTCTCTGTGTACTTCACGTTAGGACTCTCAACCTTGAAACTCTCGACGAACATTTTTGTTACTAAGTAAGGCAAAAAGAAAGAAAAGCTTTTCTTTTTTTTCCTAGAGAAGAAGAGTGGTTGTGTTGTGCAGTTTGACGTAGAAGCAGCCTGAATATATAGACGAACCGCGATTGTATGGTACTGCACGTGTCTCCAAATGAGTGGTTGTGCGTCCCAAGCTCATACAATAATTGTAAAAAATAAAACTACTCTGAACTCTGAAGGCAGTGGTTGAGGGACCCGGTGAGCGGTGAGGTGACCCATGGTAATAACGTAAAATATAGCGGTATAAATTCCGGTGAGTCCATGAATTGTATAGTGGCACGCGTTTCAATGCTTCACACCATCAGATTGCAACGTTCCATAGTCTGCCTCCTTCACATGTTACCAATAACTTATTACCTTCCATTGTTCACTTCGTAAAATCAAAATAATTTACAACTCGACAAAACTCAGGTTTCAGCCTTACACACCCCGATCATCTTTCTTCAACTTATCACAAAACCAAATGCATTTTTCTGTAGCTTCATTTCAAGTAAATATTCTACATATCTGTTTTTCAACAAAAACAAAACATTAAATAACATGAAATTTGAATTTTCATAAACATAATTATTTAAAACATTAATAACTAATAAACATGTTATATATATAGTTGACTATAATAATAATAATTTATATAGTATTTTTTAATTTAAAATTATATATTTAATTATATAATTTAACCAATCTACAAATTAATTGTTCTGTTTAATTATATTAATTTTTTTTAAATTTCTTTAAGGCATGATATTATTTTTCATTGAAATTTATAGGTATAATATATATATATATATATATATATATATATATATTATAATATGATTATTTTTTAAAAAAATAATTAAAATCAAATTATGTGACTTAGTTAATGACCTATTAATTCAATATTCTAATCATTTTGAATTTGATCAATTCAATTTTTAAAACATTCTTAACGTATTTTTAAGATGGAGAATATTAAGTCTTGTATTTTACTTCCTATCCAAAATTAAAATAAAGTGTAGTATTTTACAAAAAAATTTCGCACATGCTATAGTTATCCTTAACAATAATGAAACTACATATATAAAAATGGAACTCAAAATTACTTATTAAGCTATGTACTATATGATTTACGCACTATTATAGTATTTACAAATTTATAATATTTTTTCTAAAATCTTTTTTAATTTAATTTAAACATTTATAGAGTGCCAATTAATTTTTTTATACTGTTATTGAATCAAATATAATAATGTATTATAGCATTATTGGCTTTTATAGTAATTGTATTATTTTAGAAGTTATGTTTCGTGTAATTTATAATTTATTAATTGTGAAAATATAATAATTAATGAAAATTAAACACTTTATTTTCGAATGCAAGACATTTATATAATAAAAAACTCATATTTTATTATTAAAAATAAAATTTACTTAATTTGATAAATCACACATTAGTGACTGACATTAAAAATCGATACTGAATGTTGGTGAGTTATCAAAGTAAAGTTTGCTTTATATTAAAAAAAAAAAAGTTTGATTTTCATTTATACACAAGTTTTGTCTTTTCACAGTAAAATTTTAAATATTTTATAAAAAAGATCAAATATTATATATTTTAAATATTTAAAAAAAGTTAACAAGATTTTGCGTATTTTAATATTATGTTTGCTAACCCATTTATATCATTAGTTCTATAATATGTAAAGCAACTCATTTCTCTCAACCTTAGCTTTAAAAAGCATCTCCCTCTTTTTTCTCCCTTGTTCAAGAGGCTCCTTTCCCAAAAGGATAGGCCATTTTGCCTATCGTCCAGTCTTCCATTGAAAGCTTCCCCATATCAAGACCTTTAAACTCCAACACCTTTATTGGTCTAACTCCCATTTCACTTCATCCTTTTCAACCCAATGTAAGATGTTTCTCTCATTCCTCTACTTATTGGGATGCACAAAATCTCGCTCAAGTCCTCATTCTCTTTTCATTATTTTATTCATTCTCTAGATCAAAATGGTTGGTTCTATTGGCGAGATTGGAGATTTTTGGTCACCATTATTTAAGAATATTTGGAGAAAGACTCAACATTCAAGGCTTTGGCTAAGGGAACTTCTTGATCCAAGTCAATAGGGACTTTTGGGATATTTATCTTCTTTTCTTGTTGAAAAGTTGGTTGATGAACTTTTTCTAAAGAGATTGAGCCCTTGAAATTGTGTTTTGGATGAAAGTCGGTTGCTTGATTTTTAAAGATTAATTCTTTATGTTTTGCCTCATTATATCACGAAATATGACACTATTTTATGTGCTTTATGGCTAATTTATATGACGTCCTTTGTGTTAGTATGGTTTCTTGATAATTTGACGAAGTAGAAAACTTGAATTTTTACAATTTTATAAGCTTTAATGGGCAAAAATGAAACATTGACCACATGACACTAACTTTTATGCCTGTGGTCAACCACCAAATAGTTCCTAACATTTCAAGTTTAAGTGTTATTAGTAAATAAAGAATATTAACATTAAAAGGAAAATATTAAATAAGGACACATATTTTATAATAATACAATATTTATTAATAAAAAAATATTTTTATTAACATTATAAATATAATATATATTAATATATTATTAAAATATGTAGATATATGATATAATGACACATAATATATATTATTTAATCTCATTCAAAATCAAAATTAAAATTATGTGTAATTATATGTTAAATGAATATATATATATATATATA